GAACTATGTGTGATTGCTGTGGCTCACCAACAGAGGAATTGGAATGCATTTGGTCTGCTGACTGGACATCTTTCTCAAGAGAAAACCTAGAGGGTCCCAACTATGTGTGATTGCTGTGGCTCACCAAGAGAGGAATTGGAAGGCATTTGGTCTGCTGATGACTTGAAACCTTTCTGAAGACATTGAGGGCCACCAACGTTTAACTATGTGTGATTGCTGTGGCTCATCAAGAGAGGAATTGAAAGCATTTGGTCTGCTGACTGGACATCTCTCTCAGACGATGACGACCCCCGACTATGTGTGATTTCTATTGCTCATCAAGACAGGACTTCAACGGCCATTGGTCTGCTGACTGGACATCTTTCTCAAGACATTGAGGGCCAACAACTATGTGTGATTGCTGTAGCTCACCAAGAGAGGAATTGGAAGGCATTTGGTCTGCTGACTGGACATCTTTCTCAAGACATAGAGGGTCACCAACTATGTGTGATTGCTGTGGCTAACCAAGAGAGGAATTGGAAAGCGTTTGGTCTGCTGATGACTTGAACCTTTCTTTAGACATTGAGGGTCACTGACTATGTGTGATTGCTGTGGCTCATCAAGAGAGGAATTGGAAAGCACTTGGTCTGCTGACTGGATATCTATCTCAAGACAATGACGACCCCGAACTGTGTGTAATTTCTGTTGCTCATCAAGAGAGGACTTCAAAGGAGTTTGGTCTGCTGACGGGACATCTTACTCAAGACAATGAGGAACAGCAACTATGTGTGATTGTTGTGGCTGACCAAGAAAGGAATTGGAAGGCATATGGTCTGTAGACTGGACATCATTCTCAAGACAATGAGGACCAGCAACCATGTGTGATTGCTGTAGCTGACCAAGACAGGAATAGAGCCTCACCAAACAGAAAGCTTGAAATTACATGTGTGTATCTAATACAACCACATCATCCTCATGTCACGTATATTCTCATCTAAAACCAAAAAAAAAAAAGTGTTGTTTTATAAACATTGAAACATCTAACTAAAATAACCCATTCAATCCATGTTTCGTCATCACATCTTCAGAAAATAAAGAATGGACAGTTCAAACCTCTATTTCCAGGCAGGAATTTAAAAATATAGTACTATAGAAAATTTTCGTTATCTCATAAAACAACACAATGACATCATACAGATGTCACATATATATCGTCTAAAAGAGGTGTTTCGATCGATGTCGAAACAAAAATCATTCAATCTGTTAACCTTCATCACTTCCTCAAATAATACAGAATGGAATTTTCTGCTTCTTTTTGCAGGTAGGAATGAAAGAACAATTTAAATAAGAGCAATTTTCTTTGAAATTTAAGCTGCTTTATTGTTTCAAACTATGACGTTGTGAAAACGTCATTGTGCAACACATTTTGTAAGACTACCACAAACTGAATAATGTATTCATAACATTTGTGTATATCATATAACACGATGACATCATCCTCATGTCGAGCACATTCTCATCAAATACAAAAAAAATAACCAAAAGTTGTATTGATAACATCTAACACCTAATAACCAATTCAATCCGTAATTGGGTCATCATTTCTTCAGAAAATAAAGAATGGAAATTTAAAGCCTTTATTTTCAGGCAGGAAGTAAAAAATTGTAAGGAATATTTTCTTGCATTTTTTTTGCAAAAAAAACCTAAAAAGTTGTTTTGATAAACATCTTACTAAAAAAAACACATTCAATCGTTGTTTGTTATCACTTCTTTAGAAAATATAAATTTCAAGCCTCTATTTCCAGGCAGAAGTAAAGAATAGTCTTGAAAATGTCACTGCGACGTGAAAATGTCATTGTGCAATGTGTTTCGTGCATTTCTATGACCAAATATATCCTACTGGAATTAACATTTGTTGTGTATCTCATATAACCACATAGTGACATCATCTTGATGTCACAAATGTTCTCATCTACATGTAAACAAAGTTTTATCACAAAAGAGGTGTTTTGACAATTGCCGAAACATGAAATATAGCGATTCAGTCAGCTTCAATTAGTCTGGGTAATTCAATGTCAAATCAACACACCTTCCAGGATCGATAATCTTTCAGATATCTTTAGAGATGTTAGAAAACTGGACATCCTAAATATGAATGATTTTTGTCGAGCTGTTTGGGAAGTTAAATCTGTTGAATCTATGTTCTTTCTGAAACAGAATAATGAATATAATATAGGTTTTCCCGGTTATTTTAACACTTGTATCACACAAATTCCTTATATTGAAACTTCAATTTCTTCCCTAACATCGCCAATCTCACTATTTAATTTGAATTTCAAAAAGCCACCACTAGATTTTATTTAACGTCCAGTACAATTTTCAGCATACCGATTTGTCCAAAATCCTTGAAATTCGTCTCGTTTGGAAATGCCGTTGAATTGACAAAGCAAATTTGTTTTTTTGTCATTCGTTTTAATGTTGCTGTCATTACATTTCGTTTCTATTGACTTAAACGTTACGATTAGAAAATGTGTCCTTTGTGCGCAGTACTACAATTGACCTATCGCGGTAGAATCCGTCAATGCAGTTTGTAAAATATTGTCCAATCACATGATATACAAATGGACGTGGAACGCGCAAATTAAGAAGTGAGATTGGCGATGTTCGGGGACGAAATTAAAGTAAAGATATAGGGAATTTGTGTGATACAAGTGTTAAAATAACCCGGAAAAACCTATATATTTGTATCTCATAAAATCACACAGTAACGTCACAGTGACATTACTTTTTTTTCGTGTTCGGCAGAGTATGTTCCTAAGAAAAAAAAAAAACCTGCCTATAGGGCGTCCCTTTTTATTCATGCGGTTCTCATTTCCGACCTACTGGCTTCCAACCCAAGAAAAAATTATTATTTCCACCCATTAAGCCTATGCGCAACCCCGTTCAAAAAAAGGGGAAAGAATAGTAAATACAGAGAATGGCTCCTGTGATCATTTGAAGGCTGTTAAAAAAGATTAGTTGATACACCAAATACGGCATACAACAACCTGTGGAATCCCAAAGGATGAGCAGATGCATTATGTTGACTCTCATCACATAATATGTCTAATCAGGTTAAACTGCATTTTTCTTTCCTTTTTAAAAAGGGACACCCTTTTCAGAATGGCGATAATTCATTGTCAAATCAACACACCTATTGTCAATCTCACATTCTTCTTCCTGAAAACATACGTTCATTTTTTATGGAGAAAACTGCACATTATAACATATATGCTTCTGCTTAACTGTTTAGTTTTGCATCTTTGGTTAGGAATGTTAGGCAAACAAAAACATCTTAAGTGAAACTGAATTAACACTCAAGTAGATTTTCAGCATGTACAGGGCAAAAGGGTCCCACTGTTATTTGAATGGAATCATTATTACACAGACATTATTTTCTGTTTTTTTATTTGAAAATCACGGGGTATGTGGACGTGAAAAAGTAGAGCTATTTTGGGAAAAAAAGGGCATTAGAATCATTGGTTAGAAAAGTTTGACAAAAAGCGACCACTATTTTAAATATTTTTTTGGGGGGGGGGGGGCGGTGGGGTGGGGGAGGGGATTGTGAGATTTATCCCCAAAGGTGTATTGATTTGATGGTTGCTACAGCTCTGGACTGATTTAGGTACCAAGAAAGGACATTGGGTCCTGCTTTCTTGTTTGGTTTCTGACAAAGTCCTTCACATTCTTCCATGACCTGTGTGAGAATGTGCCAGTCTCAGCTTGGAACAGTTTGATGATAGCAGCTTTGCCGGGAACTGTACGGCCACGGAGGTATCCACCTAGATGCCTTGCAACAGCTTTCTTTTCTTTACTACTCCAAGCTCTCTTAATTGTAGGTTGTTTGCCTGCACGATAAACCAAAAGACATACACCTATGTAGTTTTTTGTGGGGTGGTGGATGGGAGAGGGAAAACGCTAGCCAGTCATCCGAATCACTGCAATATCTTTCAACCAGTTCGCAACATGTTTTAATTAATTTACCGAACACAGGTGCAATATTATTTCCACTAACATCGACCCAGTGGCTCAACCCCAGCCAAATGTGGACATCACGCACAAATGCCAGCTGCGAGCTGGTCGCTGACAGATTATTCTGGTCTTGCTCAGAGTTGTCTGTTGTGTGTTTATAATCAGTCATCGGTTTTGAATTTTGGAGAGAAAAAACTTGCGTGTACCATATCATAACCCTTACCCCCCCCCCCCCAAACCAAATATCAAAACAAAACATACAATGAACTTCCTCCAGTAAAGGTTCATGTACCGTAAACAATTGCGACACCAACTTGTATTTTCAGTCCTTTATGAGCCACATGTGGTCTTTGTTAAAACTGCAGCACAGATTAACAAGTGGATTAGCGTTTAGAGGGTATTAAATATTGATTCAGTTCTTCTAGATTTGGCAAGATTCCCAATTAAAAACGTGATTTCAAAAATTACTTGGTTTGTAATAAAAACTTAAAAAATAATTCTTTTTCACTCGACCGTACTACCCACAAATGTGTGAGCCGTTTTCACAGTATAGGTTCCAACACATCTTGCAAATCTGTCCCATTGAAATGTACACCTTTTTGATTGTATTGACAAAATATACTTGTGATAACTGCATATTGGCCGTGTCTGATAGCACTGATGCGTACCTTTCCCGTGTCTGTCCCCATGAGCTGGTGGTTTGACCTGATTGACCTCTGCCTCGGCATCAGACTCAGCATCAGACCCAGACTCAGCATCAGACCCAGACTCAGCATCAGACTCAGCATCTGTATTGTAGTCTGAGAGAATGATATAAAACACGTCTCTTTTATTTCACTTGATATTGTCAACGTGATGAGGTTAAAAAAAAAAAATTGAAAATGTTTTTGTAAATCACACTTCCCAAAAATGGGCATTGATACATGGATATTATTTTGAATGTTGACAATAGCAATTTTCTTTGTGTACCTTCATTTGGATTGAGCTCAACCTCTTGTAGAGTTTTTCCGGCGAGACCCCTGATGTCCCCTTTCTCCATTTTCAGAAGAACCTTGGATACTTTTGCAACTTGAATGGTAGATTGAGGGAGACGATAGTACTGTCGGTGAGTCCTGATATCGTGTCCAAGAAAATTAGCCAGGACATCCAGTTCGTTTTCTTTCAAGTTCATGATCTGCGAGACTGTTGCGATATGTTTCCTTAACCTGGTCGCTCGTAGATTTGCAGGTTGTTTGGCTCCGCACTTATTGGCATGCTCACGAACAGTATCTGTCCCTCTAATGTGGCCTTCTCCATATCTAGCTGAGAAGAGATAGTCGTTGCCATCATTAATTGCAGCTGCAGCTCTCTTACTTAGGAGAAGATCCAAGGCATGCTTCATGTCAGAGGTGAGAAGTACAACGACAGTCCTGGACCGCTTTCCTATCAACTCTACCCTCCAAAGCACTCTGCACAGGGCTTTCTCCCAGGCTGTCAGGGCACCTTCAATGATTGTGTCTTCTCCATTCATGCACTTACTGTAGTCTTGAATTGTCATTCTTGAGACTTCCCCGGGTCTCTTTCGGTTGAAGAGAATGATTTGGGAGAGAAGAATTTCTGCCAGCCTTGACCATGCTGTTTGGACTTCTCTTGAGCCATCTGCACTTTGCAACACCTGTTCCCTGACTCTAACCTCATCCTTCAGATATTGCGATAGCTTCACCACATCTTCAGTCAACGGTAACAGCTTTGGATTGTTTCGCTGCGCCTCATTCAAACTACGTAATGCATGATGGCTGACTTTTTCTTCCCATTGTGTGGAGTAAAGTGATAGGAATCCTTTACAACGCTTCTCAGTCGACTCATCCCCAGACATAAGAGCCTCACCACGCAGAATTTCTGCACAAGTCTTCATGCTGTGTCCAATCTTCAGTGCAAGACTGGGTGTGCTGTACAGATGAGTTTCGTCATTGAAGCCAGCTGCAACTCGTGTTGCACGAGTCACTGCAACAAATTTTGTAGGACATATCAGTGTAGACAATCCAACATTTGTTTGGCCCGTCAAGAATCGAAATTCCAACACCATTCGTGCAATCTCCCTTAATCTTTGCCTGATGTATCCAGCCTGGTCTTTGCTGTGGCCATGCTTCATTACCAACTTGTCAGCAAACCTTTTGATAAGCTCATCAGACTTGACCAAGCGGGAAATGTTGTCGGCATTCATACTTGACAAGATTTCATTAGTCCTAGTACTAACCCCGGGTGTTGATGGCAAAAGCATTCTCCCTGGCTTGCAGAACATAGTTCTTCTCTTTTTTACACAAGGCTCACCAGAGCAATCAACATCAGGTTTTTGGCTGCATCTGTGCTTCCATAAATCTGACTTGGCATAGTAGCCGTAACAGTCCTGACAAGGAAGATAATCATTATGGTCCGTGTCATATCCAGGACGATACACAACAATAAGAGTGCCTTTCCCCTTTTTCAAAACAGTTGAGTTATGAAGAAAATTGCCGTAGTTTCTCATCAGTGTGAGTTGTTTCTTCTTTTCCTTCACATCTGTTGTGGCCAGCCAAGTTTTAACTTGGGTTTCATCTTTATGCATCGGTGTAGTCAAATGGCGTGGTAGTTTCTTCTGTTGCTGAAGACAAAATGGGCAGTACTGTGGTTTGTCCCAGTGGCGCTTCCCTTCAGAGTTTGAAGTTGTCATGACTTCAATTTCACTTGTGCTGGAGACAGTCTCATCAGAAGAAACTGGATGATTGGAAGACTCCCTTGATGGAATCGGTATTACCGGGCTTGGTGACCTCAAAGATATTTCATCTGATGATTCTGGAACAATGTCTTCATCTGACGAATTTGAATCTGGAATGAAATCTGGGTCGTTTTCATCTGAGGAATATTCATCAGGTGAGTCAAGATTATCCTCTACAGGATATGATGGAGCATGCCTCTGAACAATTATGTGTGATTTCTGTGACTCATCAAGAGAGGACTTCAAAGGTGTTGGTCTGCCGACTGGACATCTTTCTCAAGACTTTGAGGGCCATCAACTATGTGTAATTGCTGTGGCTCACCAAGAGAGGAATTGGAATGCATTTGTCTGCTGACTGGACATCTTTCTCAAGACATAGAGGGTCACCAACTATGTGTGATTGCTGTGGCTCATCAAGAGAGGAATTGGAAAGCATTTGGTCTGCTGATGTCTTGAAACCTTTCTCAAGACATTGAGGGCCACCCATGTTAACTATGTGTGATTGCTGTGGCTCATCAAGAGAGGAATTGGAAAGCATTTGGTCTGCTGACTGGGCATCTCTCTCAAGACGATGACGACCCCCGACTATGTGTGATTTCTGTTGCTCATCAAGACAGGACTTCAACGGCGTTTGGTCTGCTGACTGGACACCTTGCTCAAGACAATGAGGACCAACAACTATGGGTGATTGCTGTGGCTCACCAACAGAGGAATTGGAAAGCATTTGGTCTGCTGACTGGACATCTTTCTCAAGACATAGAGGGTCACCAACTATGTGTGATTGCTGTGGCTCATCAAGAGAGGAATTGGAAAGCATTTGGTCTGCTGATGACTTGAAACCTTTCTCAAGACATTGAGGGCCACCCATGTTAACTATGTGTGATTGCTGTGGCTCATCAAAAGAGGAATTGGAAAGCATTTGGTCTGCTGACTGGACATCTCTCTCAAGACGATGACGACCCCCGACTATGTGTGATTTCTGTTGCTCATCAAGACAGGACTTCAACGGCGTTTGGTCTGCTGACTGGACATCTTTCTCAAGACATTGAGGGCCAACAACTATGTGTGATTGCTGTAGCTCACCAAGGGAGGAATTGGAAGGCATTTGGTCTGCTGACTGGACATCTTGCTCAAGACAATGAGGACCAACAACTATGTGTGATTGCTGTGGCTCACCAACAGAGGAATTGGAATGTATTTGGTCTGCTGACTGGACATCTTTCTCAAGATATAGAGGGTCACTGACTATGTGTGATTGCTGTGGCTCACCAAGAGAGGAATTGGAAGGCATTTGGTCTGCTGATGACTTGAAACCTTTCTCCAGACATTGAGGGCCACCAACGTTAACTATGTGTGATTGCTGTGGCTCATCAAGAGAGGAATTGGAAAGCATTTGGTCTGCTGACTGGCCATCTCTCTCAAGACGATGACGACCCCCGACTATGTGTGATTTCTGTTGCTCATCAAGACAGGACTTCAACGGCGTTTGGTCTGCTGACTGGACATCTTTCTCAAGACATTGAGGGCCAACAACTAGGTGTGATTGCTGTAGCTCACCAAGAGAGGAATTGGAAGGAATTTGGTCTGTTGACTGGACATCTTGCTCAAGACAATGAGGACCAACAACTATGTGTGATTGCTGTGGCTCACCAACAGAGGAATTGGAAGGCATTTGGTCTGCTGACTGGACATCTTGCTCAAGACAATGAGGACCAACAACTATGTGTGATTGCTGTAGCTCACCAAGGGAGGAATTGGAATGCATTTGGTCTGCTGACTGGACATCTTTCTCAAGACATTGAGGGTCACTGACTATCTGTGATTGCTGTGGCTCATCAAGAGAGGAATTGGAAAGCATTTGGTCTGCTGACTGGATATCTATCTCAAGACGATGACGACCCCTAACTGTGTGTGATTTCTGTGGCTCATCAAGAGAGGACTTCAAAGGAGTTTGGTCTGCTAACTGGACATCTTTCTCAAGATATTGAGGGCCACCAACTATGTGTGTTTGCTGTGGCTCACCAAGAGAGGAATTGGAAGGCATATGGTCTGCTGACTGGACATCTTGCTCAAGAGAATGAGGGCCACCAACTATGTGTGATTGCTGTGGCTGACCTAGAGAGGAATTGGAAGGCATATTGTCTGCTGACTGGACATCTTGCTCAAGACAATGAGGACCAACAACTATGTGTGATTGCTGTGGCTCATCAAGAGACTTGGAAGGCATTTGGTCTGCTGCCTGGACATCTTTCTTAAGACAATGTGGACCACCACAAACTATGTGTGATTGGTGTGGCTCAGCTATAGACAACTTGGAAGGCATTTGTGCTGCATGACCAGCACTGATGCGTGATTGCTGTGGCTCATCATGAAACGATGGTGAATACAACTGGCATGGACAGTCATTGTCGCTGTGATCTTGCTTCCATTTGGTCTAAAATTAGATACAAAGAACAAGTTATTATTAACGCCCCTACCCTCAAAAAAGTAAATCAGTAAATAAGCAAATAGAGCAAACGAGCAAACAGACGATGGAAGTGTTATAAGCATTTTTGACATAAATTTAAGTATTTTTAAATTGACCGAAAAGACATTGACTTTCTCAATTGTTTTGTTTGCTTTCAGTCCAACATGATTTTTGTTTCAACCACTAACTTGCCACTAGTGATTACAATCTTTTGAATTTTGTTACACAATATACATGCAGCAATTTCAGCTGATTTTATATATAAATTAATGTTTTATTTCTTTTTTTCCCATTTACTTTCATTATTGAAAAGACATTTTTTACCAACTCTACTAATGGCCAATTTGTTGCAGTCACAGTCGGGTTATTGGAAACTCAAGATTAGTTTTTGTCCAATACAATTTTCAAGAACATTTTGCAAGGTATGAAATAAAGCCATATGAGGACCATACAATTTTGAAATGAAAAAAAAAATCCATGTCATTCTCAAGATTTTTCCAGGCCACAGGGGCCCTGGGTATACATGGTTGCTTTATATACATGTATAGCTCTTTTTCTTACCTGTCGCCAGGGTAGATTGTCTATGCCATAATTGTATCGCAGCTCTGAGCCAACTTCCAAATCGAACAAGGCAAACAGACACAGGTGTGGTTCATCACAGCTTTTGAAAACTAGTTTCTTCATCACACAGTTGGGTGTGTCTTTCGCATCGTTGATCCACCGTGCCATACATGAAGTGGGACTCATTGCATCAATGCTGTAAAAAACAGTAGTGCAAATCATGATGTTCATAACAGTGTTTTAGCCAGGATTTGAGAAAGTGGGAGTGTAAAATTTAAAAGTGGGAGTGCAACGTTGGAGTCCAGATTTTTTGTGCACAACACGAAGTCTCACTGCCGCGATCCAGGGCCGCATAAAAAGCCTTAAAGACATGGATACTATCATGGCTAATTAATTTGCTTTCTAATGGTAGCTGATGCATTCCCAATACCCGTTTTCCAAGTACATGTAGAAGTCAGCTTAGTAGTTTTGATTTTTTTTCTCTTTTTTTTAAACAGAAAATAAAACGTTTGACCAAAAATACAGGATGTGCAGTTGTCCGTTATTTAAGTGATTGCCAATAGTGATTACACATGTACCGGTAGCTGTAACAAATACGGTGATCTTTACAAGTAACTGGATTTTTCCTTAAAATTCAAATGATATTGATTATTTTTGAACTGGAAAAGTATGGACTAAAACTAAGTTTCAAATTAAGAAGCAAGGCCAAGGGAAATTTGCTTCCTTTTACATGCCTTTTTAAAAATAGGGTCAGTACATCTAAAAAAAAATTTATCGTCATTTTGTGTGATGATTGTATGGTGGAACAGGAGCAAAGAATCATACATGTATGTGTTTTACTTTGGGTCTGGGTTAGTTCCATTAGCACCAGAAAGTTTTTCGAGAATGAACATCAAAAGAGCTTAAAATATAATTGCTCAATGTAAAATATATAAGGTAAAAGTTTTTGTTTTAATTATTAATGGAGCATTCAAGTCATCCGCACCATAGTCAATGTACATTAAATACGCAAATAAAACCACTGGAACATAACACATTCTAACATAATAGGATATGTGAAATGTTTGAATATGTATTAGCGGTACACGTACACGAACTGTGAAATAGAGGACTTGTACAGCAGGCATACAGTATTTAAAATGCTAGAATGTGTCTTGTACATGCAATGCAATAGAGGACAAGTACAGCAGGCCCAATTATTAACAATTTTAGTATTTAAAATGTTTTGGAATGTGTCTTGTACATGGACTATGCAATAGAGGACATGTACAGCAGGCCCCATTTATTAACAATTTTAGTATTTAAAATGTTTTGGAATGTGTCTTGTACATGGACTATGCAATAGAGGACATGTACAGCAGGCCCCATTTATTAACAATTTTAGTATTTAAAATGTTTTGGAATGTGTCTTGTACATGGACTATGCAATAGAGGACATGTACAGCAGGCCCCATTTATTAACAATTTTAGTATTTAAAATGTTTTGGAATGTGTCTTGTACATGGACTATGCAATAGAGGACATGTACAGCAGGCCCCATTTATTAACAATTTTAGTATTTAAAATGTTTTGGAATGTGTCTTGTACATGGACTATGCAATAGAGGACATGTACAGCAGGCCCCATTTATTAACAATTTTAGTATTTAAAATGTTTTGGAATGTGTCTTGTACATGGACTATGCAATAGAGGACATGTACAGCAGGCCCCATTTATTAACAATTTTAGTATTTAAAATGTTTTGGAATGTGTCTTGTACATGGACTATGCAATAGAGGACATGTACAGCAGGCCCCATTTATTAACAATTTTAGAATTTAAAATGTTTTGGATCTATGTTTTGCATTGCATCTATTGCGTAAAAATAAGCTCAGCTAGAGTAATTCAGACCGGATTACTGAAAATAAACAGCAAGAGAATTTTGTGTGCAAGCGTATATTTCATACTTCTTTAAAAGACAACTCCACAAAGAATATATTCATACATCGCTCTGACATTTTGTCCGAGTACATCTGCATTTGGTCGGACAAACCAAGAAAGTGGTCGGAAATGTCCGATGGTAATTTCACGCACTGAATGTGCATTGTACATGGACTATGCAATAGAGGACATGTACAGCAGGCCCCATCAATTAACAATTTCAGTATTTAAAATGTTTTGGAATCAGTCCTTCATTTAAAGGAAATCCATTAGAGCTACATGTATAAATTGCTCCCCTCAAATCTTTGAGGAGAGCAAATCGCTCTCCTTAAAATTCACGGATAAACAGCGGTGAAACGACGGGTCAACATTGTTTTTAATATTTTGAATATCAGGATTTCTTCAAGGGGCTGCATTATAGTTTTTGCATAATAACATGCTCAGGTGGCGTTACTTCTTTGGTTTTTGTAACTGTAAGAATTTATTTTTAAAAACTAACTAGGCCTAAATGGAGATTAATAAAAGGTTTTACTGCTTATGTTTTCATTTTTTTAAATACAGTTGTCAGTTGGTTCATCACTTAATTATACTTGGAAAATGGAGTTAATAAACGGCACATAAAGCAACTGAATATTTGCTTTCAGATTTGTTAAAATTATATGAAAATTTTCAGCCTGAACTATTTCCATTGCACTACGAAAGCTATACAAAAAAGGGCCTCAAAATGACAAAAACTTGCCTTAAGTATTATCGAAAATAATTGTGCCGTTGATAATCTCAAAAATAATGGAAAATGCAGGTCAAGTATGCCATATGCACAATGTTATAGTCACGACGAGAATCCAGCAAACAACGTCTAAACTTCGCACTACGAGCTTTTGTGATGCACTGTGGTGGGCCGGCAATGAGCCTTGTTTTACGGTATAGGATTTTAGTAAAACACGCTGCATCGTTTCACTTTATACATGTATGTATACTGTAGTACTTCCTCGAAATAAATTCATGAACACGGGAAATAAGAGAGATCAAGTTCTGTGAATAAACTTGCAAAGATCGTCTTTCTAAATCGATGTTTTCTTGGCATTTTTACGATGTCTATTCCGTCCGGCTGGCCTGCATGCAAAACACTGATACTGCAAAAAGTACATACAGCAGTGCGCATTGCACCGTGCGCGATTATTGCATTGACTGATTACCACATTTCCATTACGCCTTCTTTGGGCCTTAGTGTGCGGCGCAGCGGGAACTCTCGTATGTACGGGTCCACGTGTTTTCATGCAGCTCTATGCGATATGCAGATTGTGTACGTACAGTATACAGCTGCTGTACACGCACGATCTTTCTGGTACGTACGAGCTCGGTGTTCGTTCATTTTTAGCAAAATCCGGCGGAATAACGTGAGTTTGGGTATTATACCAATGAATAATACGTGTAGCTTCAGACTTAAAATAAAAAATTTCAATGAAAACATTCTGAAATTTTTAGGGTCAAAATATTAGTTAAACACCTCTAAATTTTTCAAATCTATCAAAATGTTTAACATCATAAGAATCCTTATAAAATAAACAATATTTTAAATTTTGAATCAGCTTATTATCACTTGTTACAAAAAAGTTATAATTGTTCCCTCGTAACACTAACACCGCGCCGCACGATTGTCCGACATGTCTGACTCTGGGTTCACACCGCAATGCGACCACACAGCCCGCCATAACACATGGGTAAAAAATACAGTTCCATTCACGGTACACACAACGCAGCAACACGAAACATGCACGTGTACGCGTAATCGCCGTTGCGACATGCGGATAAAATCGGCTGCCGGAACGGGCCGGCATTATTTTTGACAAAAAATCAACTTTCGTGTTCTCCTAAAAGTCCAAGCTTCCGAATAAACTCCATTTCATAGACTTTCTACGCATGTATTTTGAGGATTTTTGATTGGAAAACCGTTACATGGTACCGTTTTGTAGCCTTCGGAAAACAAAAAAATTGCATTCACCGATTGCTCGGCAGGCTGAGGAGGGTACCAGGTCATACATAATGTACGCACGCGTGCTGTGCAACCAAGATTGTCGCACCACGTGCCCAATTGCACATGAGGAACTCACTGCGAATCAGCCGGAACGCGCCCAGCATTCTGGGACTATCTGCCTTGTTAAGCATGGAGGATCTGCGCATTAGGATTGTGCAATGTATCCATAAATGGGATTTTTTCACTTCGTCACTCAGTCGAAAATCTTGAGTCGACATGCACCCAGACTCGACTAGTTATATACACACGGACGTTGAAAAGGCTCCATACTAGCTCGAGAATTGGACGTGTATCGTCTTCGTTCACGGTACAAATGACGATCTCAAAGAACACTAACAATTAGTCCGGAGAATACGAAGGTGAAATACCAAGACACACACATAAAGTGCACAGATTTGCCTATAATTTTTTTTTTATTCCTTTTTCGTACCCGTCAGGCGGCGATATTGGCCAAAAAACCCGAGGCGGCCTCAAAAAGTCGTGAGGCAGGCCGCCTCGTGACGATTGAATGGGCAGGGGAAACGCTGGATCAGCGTAAGAAATATTTGGATTGGCTGATTTGTATGACGTACATGTCTTGTATAAGGCTTTAGACCAATAAGTGTACTTCATACTCGACTGCAGTACGTGCGACGCCCAGACTGTCTGTGCAGATTCTGTCGCCCTCTGGCACGTGGCTCCGCCACTCGCATAGTCGCACCACAGGTGTTTTTTGTTTTTCTCGTAAGCAACCAGGTTGCGTCACGCGTCGGGTAGCCACGCGCGCTATTACGTGAAACTCCCATTTGCCAAAACCCCTGAACTACCTACCGATTTCACTGTGACTCTTATCAGCTGTTATCAGTAAAGTAATTATAAGATAAACACTTACCCTGGCACCCACTTCCCCAGGGCCAGTGACCATGAGCTGGTGGTGTCAAATAACGGAAACCTTGAAGAGCATGGCTGAAGTCGCGGACTGTTTCTTATTTGATATCTCGAGATATATTTGATCGATTTTTATGATTCAAAGTTGCTCACATAATAACTTTTCACACTTTTCCAAATACTTTACATTATAAACAAGAACCTAGTAGACTTTGGTAGATATTTTTTGTCAGTAAGCTCACAGGCAGAGGCACCATACACCACCTGTTCACGGCTCGTTAACTCTTGATCAGATAAGAGAGATCGCGTTGAAAGCTGCTGATTCTGAAATCGGTAGGTACGACCCGAGTTTGTCATAGGCAAACTCGGGTCTA